AAAAAAGAAAAAAAAAAAAAAAAAAAAAAAAAAAGAAAAAAGAAAAAGGGCTCTCACAGAGAAAGACAAAAAACTAAGCTAGGACGTAATTTTTTAGTATTATTTTTTTTTTATCATACAGTAGTATAATTAAAAATAATATTAAGTATGATTAAAATAATTTGTTTAGTTAATTTTTTTATTATTAAAAAAATAATTATAAGTAGTATAATTATAATAATATTAAGTATATCAAAACATAATTTGTTTCGTTGATTTTTCTTTTTATTATTAAAAATTATAAGTACTGTAGTCTATTTTAAATTTATAACTATTTTCAGCCCCAAAAGATTTTAAAATTTCAATTTTCACCCCAGAATAGTGTTTTCCGTTACTTGCTAACGGATATGTAACGACGGGGACCAAAAGTGTTTAAAATTGAAACTTGGAACAAGGGGGACCAAAAGTGAAATCGGGTTAAACACGAGGGACCAAAAGTGTAATTATCCTCCACATTTGACATATAATTGTGATATATTCTACAAGACAGGTTTTCCAAACCATAAATAATATTCACAGGGAAAAAAATGTTTCTAACAGAAAAAAAAAAAAGAAGAAATCAAAGGGGAAAAAACAAAGGAGGTCATCATAAAAACAAATACAATAATTAACAAATAAATCCTTATATATAACCTAATTGTTCTATTATATATATCCCTGCAGAAAACCTGTGCAGGTGACTGATTAAGCACCCTTCATTTTTTTCCGCCTCAACGAGAAAGAAACATCGACGCTGTCATCGATGAAATCTTTAAGAAATCTTTTCTTCCTCGGTCGGTATCTTTTGTTTGACGGGATACTTAATCAAATGCCACCGAATTTCTACTGATTTACAAAACACGAATAACTGCATGCATAAGAATGTAATGCTTTGATATCTGTACATGTATGTAACTGCATGCATATATATATATATATATATATATATATATATATATATAACCATACACACACACACAAGATTCTAATGATTTTTGGTTTGTGATTCTCCGATGCATATCCCCAACCGATCTTTAGCGTTAATCCTGCCAGAGAAAAAAGTATAACTACATATGATCATTAAAATATTGACATATACAATGATATATATCACGAGTGTTTTTCACCGGGTGCAGCATAGAATAGTACTGAGATACCTCGTCGCCGTCATGCAAACGTATCAAACAAATGTTCCCTAAGCCGGGGGACATGGTCCCTTTGCCGCCCACCGTAAAGACGACCTGCACATTCTCGCACAACACTCTCAAGTTCTCCTGTCTGTAAACCAAATTCGCCGTCGTGAAGTTAGTCTTCATCGCCAACCTCAGGCTGAAAACCACCACCCCGTTGCTCTGGTCCTGCGACAAGGTCGGGAGGACCCAGCTCTGCAGCTTCATGTCGTTCGGCTTCTGCTCGGCCGGCATGGAGAAGTTGACGGTGGACCGGTTCATCTGGTCCACCTGAAACGGCTGCAGAGTGGAAATCCCCAGAAGGGCCTCCTTGTAGAATATGGACGACATCACGCGGTCGAAGTTGACCGCGAGCTCCTTGTTGGTGTTGGTCACGGACAATTCCACCTCCCACGTGCCCGTCAGGGTCGTGTCGGTGGCGGTGAAATTGGAGACCTTGAGGGACGCGACCTCGAACTCGGGGATGTATGTCCCGAAGAGGAACCACATGACGAGGCTCATCATGCACATGCTCGCCACCAGGACGATCATCAATATCAACATCACCCGACCGAAAGAGGAGCTGTCGCTGTCGTTGTTGTTGTTTAGTGGGACGAGGGGCTTGTAGTGTTGTTGGTAGTAGTACTCGTTGTACGGTTGGTTGTACTGATTGCCCCCCAACGGAGGGGCGGCGTTTGGATATTGTCCGTCGTGCTGGAACGGTGGTGGTGGTGGTTGTGATGATGTGGAGGGGTATAATTGATGGTGGTGGATAGACGACGAGCCGTAAACAGTGGGCGGTGGGTAGGGTGCGGGGGTAGCTTGTAGGTGGTACCTATCCATGGAGGGGTACCCCATTACGATCTTGTGTTTCGGGTCGTCGGGTGGTGGGACTCCCATTTTGGATTTTCTTTCTCTCCCGTGATTTTTTTGTTTTTTTTATCAACGAGGGAGAGAAAGAAGAACCTGAATGGAAGAAAAGATAAGATTGTGTGTGGAGAAACTCTGTTTTTTTTCTTTTTTTAACGTTTGATTTTTCAATATTATGATTGTTTGACTAGTTTTATTTTGTGGTGGTGATAATGGAGATGGAAGTACATTTGTTCTTTGTTTGATTGAAGAGAGATTATGTTGTTAATTACATTTTAGTGTTTGAGAAGATGGAAAATGAAACGAGGCGTTGGACGTGATCCTTGGTCAACTTTTTTGTAGATGGTTTATCCCAATTTTAGGATTTGAAATTTGAGGTGGAGAGTCAAACAAATGATGAAATGTAAGCGTTGACTATTTATAATAAGACCTTGTCTCAAAGACTATATGTAACTTGTAGATGACTTACATTGGTAAAGCAAATTTATTCCCAAATTTTGCTTACATTTCATGTTTGAGAATGTTGAACATGATTTGCAAGTTTAATTAGATTGAGGAGGAGGATTAGTGGGAGTACTTTGATCCACGGAAACTTCTACCCAAGCGCGTTTTCACGTTTCGGAAACATTCCGGAAACCAAAAAGCCATGACAGGTGTCATTAACATTTCGGGGCCGTTTCCATAAATATTTAAAAGTTTCAGGAACGTTTTTACTAATCATGAAAAAATAGAAACACGTTTCCACCCAAAAAAATCAAAAACCTATTTTAAATAAAAACTCAAAATTGCATACCCTTAAAAAAAATCTTAAATCTTATGTCTATTTTTCACTTCTAATGATGTTCTAATATTTTTTGTAGATGCTAATTCCGAACTATCATAAATTTATATGCCCCCAATGTAATTTGTGGAATGATAATTCCTATTGGAATCTGTAAATATTATGTATACATAATTTGTAGATACGTATATGTATGTAATTGTCGATGTATATAAGTTAAACTAGGGCTGTGCATGGATCGGTTTTAACCACCAACCAACCCATTTTCGACCCACAATTTGTGATGGTTAATCAACCATCAACCGACCCATTTAAGTTGGGTCGATAATGTCAACCAACCCATGTATAGTTGGGTCGATAATGGTTTCTAAAATGCTAAAAAGCTGGTTAGTCGGTTAATATCGGCCAACCAACTTTATTCATTAATTTATTATTTATTAATTTTAATTAAAATATTTAATACTTTTAATTTCAAATTTCTGTTATATATCACATTTATTAAATTGTCTAATATTGACCAAAATCCTAAAAGCAATAAATCTAACCTAATTATCTAATTTGAACTATTTTAATTTGAAGACATATAGTCTAAATATTTGGACGATTATTATTTGTTGAACTATTTATATTTAATTGCAATATATATGACCGTAATGTTTTGAATCTTTTATTTGAATATTGTTGAACTAGTCGCATTTAATTTATAACAGATATAGCGTTGTAACAAGTAATAAAATATTAAAAAAAATTAAAAAATATTTAGATGGATGACCCATCAACCAAACCACCAACCAACCCATTAAATTGGTTTTCAACCATCACCCAACCCATATAAATTGGGTCGATAACGGTTTCCAATATTGACCAAAGTTGGTTGGATGGGTTGGGTTGGTTTTATAGCTGGTTTTTAACCAAACCAACCAACGCACAGCCCTAAGTTAAACAATATTATACTTTTTTTAGAAATTATGAATGTACCCCTATATTTTTTCAATATTTACACGTTTCCCCAACATTCCCATATCAATTTTTTCAGAACGGAGTTTCCCCGTATCCGTTCACCGTTTCGCAGTGTCCGTGTTCCCTTTTCCGTGCTACATAGGTAGAGTACGATGTTTAATGATAATATAATATGAGATTATTTTGTGGTAGAAACTTATTATTATACTTTTCTTGTGTAATATTTGCAGTATATATATATTTGGAAATATGGATTATAATCAATTGGAAATAAGACAACAAAACATGGGCACCCAAATTTTTTTTTTTTCAATTTCACATCATTTAGGAGTGTCACCTTAATAGCATACTATGAAGCACAATTTAAATAATAGCCAGAGAAATAAATTGTCAATAGTTCCGGTTATTAGGCAAGCGCACCTCACGAGTAGCAGCGTACCCGGGCCATTCTTCTTGCCTCCTGTTGAGCAAAATCTTCCGAGGGGGGAGTTGATATTCACGCGAATTCATCGTACCTATCACATATTATATAAAACAAAAAATTAATTATTGTGTAACTAGATAAAAACCTTAAACCATTTTCAGACAAGGTTAAGCAATCCTATTATGCAGTCGGGTACCCGAGACACAAGATCGTATGTATAATGCATAATGCAATTCAGAACCGAAAAGAATACGTACAGATCTGCAAGTGTTACCAATTTTTTTTTTATCCGAATCAATATTGCGATGGTGAAGTTGAATATATGTTGTAAGAACTAGTTCGGAAAATAAAGGAACTGTCGCTTTATAACTCGTCTCAACTCGATTGTTCCTACTTTCCTAGAATCAAGAATTCAGAAAATAATCTCAAACTTGATTTTGTCATGGAAAGCAAAGACAAAAGCCGAGATCAAGCAGAAGCATATACGTCGTATATCATTTGACTAGTCAATATTTCTTGTTCTCAACACCAGATGAGTTTGCAGTTACGATTCAAATCGTCCTTATTTTTATTTTTAAACATATTCGTCGGAAACAAATTAAAGTGAAGCGTCATTTGCACAATTAAAAGTCGAAATCCTAATCATCCACGAAAAAACAGAGGCGTAATTCAATTAGCATTGTACTTAATGTGCATCGCTCAACAAGTAGAAAGCCCCCACACAAATCAACACGAAGCATCATTTGATCAAGACAACAATCCAAACATATATAGCCACACACACACACACAAATGTTGCATATTGCACCCAGTGGCGGTGGCACTATATATACCATAGTGCCAGAGGGGGTTATGGCCCCCCAACAATTCTCGAATCCCTATTTTTTATGTACAAATTTTAAAAAATTCCGTACAATTAGCATTATCGACCGCCCCTCATATTTTTTTTTTAATGCACCCCCCGCGAACTTAAAATTATGTTTCCGCTAGTGACTGCACCTAAATAGATTATTTAAAATTTTAATTACCAAAATCTATTAGTCGACGTTGTACACACTCTAATCCTTTTGTGGTTTCTCATTCTTATTGCACAATATATGTCTTAACAAATTTATAATGCCATTTAATAATACTTCCATTTATCATAAAATTGAAATAATAATAAGAATAATAAGAATAAGAACAAAAAAGGTTAACTAGAGCAATAATAAAAAACTCACGCGGTCCCTTTCTAAGGTTGTGATGAATGTTGCTGTTTTTGGTGAGCAAAGCAGTGCGAGGAAGAAAGACACCTGTCCCTACATGACCCGGACCCATTCCCACCACTGAGAAAACCCGGTTCAGACTGAACCGGGTTCGCTGCTGTCTCTGATGCAGATGCAGTACAGCCATAGCTCTTTCCCCAATAAACCTCTCATTCTGCAGAGTATTTAATACTTTACCAAAATTACTATCTGCCCAACAGGCTGTGAAATCCAAATTTTAAAACCCGGAAAATGACAACTCGTAACAAAGTGCAAAAAACTGAATAAGACCTGCGTTTGAACCGGGTCGAACCTGTAACCCGATGAGCATCCGGTCCGGATGTTCCCGGTTTTGCATTCACACGGATCATCACCACCGGAGACACCCACGGAACCGTAACTAACCGCCGGATTAAACCGCTGCGAAAACCACGGAATTGAACGTTGTTAAAATGAAAAAGAAACGCCGGAGAAGGCCATGCATGCGTGTGATATGTACCTGTAAATTGGGGAGAGGTTTGCAGAGATGACGGTAATTTGGGTGGCGCTGTAGAGAAGTGGAGGCGGAGAAACTTTGATAGCTCTCCTCCTCCGCCGTGCCAGAGGGGTTTGGGGAAGAAGAAGAGTAGCTGAATTTTGTGGAGAAGAAATCAGAAGGAAGCCACTGCTCTCCGTCTTCCAAATTCTCAGCATCCAAATCGTCCGCCATTTCTGCACTTTATTATTTTAGAGAGAGAAATTGGAGAGAGAAAGAGGGGGGAATTCTGATGGTCGGAAGGGAAAGGGGTAAAGAAGGTAATTTTTATTTTTTTGGGTTTTAACTTTTAATTAAATTGACGTTACGAGTTCAATTTCTGCAAACTGCAAAAGCTGAATGAAAAAACGATGATTGTTTAATTTTGAGAACAAGAAAATGAAAAGGGAAAAAGTGTAGAGAGAGAAAGTTGGAGGGTGGTGGTATTGTCACGTGACAACGCACGAAGGTTTGTTGCCTGCATAATTATCGGCCACGATTTTCCAAGTGGTAATGGTTTTATGATTTTTGTATAGGAAAAGGGTGAAAATACATGGGTAAATTACAAACACCCCTTGGGTATAGTCAATTTACAAACAAATCCCTCTTGTTTGGATAATTACATCTACCTCCTCTTAACTATGATTTTTTCTTACGCCTCCACCCTTATGTTGTCAAAATTCAACATAAACATCTAGATTTCGTGGAATGTGCTCTAGGTTGTACTCGTTTTGTGTAAAAATACAGTTTCTGATGCACCACAATCTGATATATACAAGCCAAAAAACACATATTATGATCATCTTGCTTCAAAATGTAGAGTTCGAATGGGATAAAATGGGTACAAAAGTGATAATATTCCATATAATCTCGAAGATTCCACTAAATTTGAGGAGTTGAGGGGGTTTTAATTATCCAAACAAGAGGGTTTTTTTGTAATTTGATCATACCTCAGGAGGGTGATAGTAATTTACCCAAAATACATAAATGAAATTCTGAATTTGGACAAAATCTAATTAAAATTTTCTGAATTTTGAACTTTTTTTTTCGTTTTAAATGAAATTATTTTTTGGGCCGAAATTAAATTAATTTTTCACTCCGACAAGAAATAGATTTTGTTTCAGTGCTCGTTATGATACGTTCCACCTGATATTCACACCTAATGATCAAGATTTGCTACGGTCACATTATCGTTGATGAAAGGAAAAATGCAATGTCCTTTTTTTTGTTGATAATTAAAATTTAAAATCCAATGTTCTTATTAGTTATTTTGGCAAGGGTGTTTATGGAAATAGCAAAAAACAAGATTTAATTAAAATGTATCTTGTCCAACGTATCATTATCTAGGTGTGAGATATTGTAGATAGATATATATATATATATTTAATAAATTGAAAGTTCAAAACAATTTAACAAAGGTCAAAAAACTACCACTTTCCTGTATTTTTTAATTATGATATGTACCTTTGTTTTATTTAATGTAATATGTATTAAGAAAAATATATTTTCAAAAACCATTCGGTGACCGAATATTCTGAAACATAAATTAAAAATAAAATAAAATACATTAGAAGTAGTAAACAAAAATAAATTAATATCGGATAGTGAGCACCAACAGCCAAATGTTGAAGAATTACGTGGAGCTAGAGTCTATTTGATATATATATATTTTTTTTTTATATTTATATTTTTTGATACTTAAATTTGATTTGAATTTGATTTAACAATTGGACTCAGTCTAACAGTAATGGGAAAAAATATTAGTATCACTAATCCTTCTTGGCTAAGGAAGGAGAATTTATGACCAAAACAAAATCACGATTAAAATGACGCGTTAAACACAATCTTTTTTTAAATATAATTTTATGTAAATAATAGGAATTTAAATGGGCGTTATGTATTACACTGATGGAATGATTGCTGGAAATCCGACGGAATGGATAGGAATCGGAAACTTTCCAATTTTGTTTGGAAGTAAAAATGGATTTCAATTTCCGTTCCATTTCAGAAAAATAGAAATGCAAAAATTCATTTTGATTCCGAAATGTCTCGCAATCATCGGAATTTCGAATATTTCGGAAACTACATTAATATATAACTTTTTTTTTTCCAAATTCAGATGTAGTGAAAATTTTCACAAGAAGTTTTTATCTTTATCGAATTTTGATTAAAATGTAAGAAAATCCAAAAAAAGAGTTAGGAAAAACAAATTGAAACCTTCGAAATTTATCTTTTTCATGTAAAATATAACGTAAGTTATATTATGGAATTACAAAATATATCACAAAATTATATTTATATATTTCGAAAAGCAATCAATATATTCGTAACTAAAATCGAATCGGAAGTTGGAATCTCCGGTAATTTTATATACAATTCCAATTTCATTCCAAATGAATTCGAAAAAAACGAAAATCACAACTTCGAAAATCGGAATGAAATACACAATTCCAAATTCGAATATTCTCGAATAGAAATTGACGAAACTCGAAAAATCTATTCAATTTCCGCCCTAGAAATGATCAGAAGTGGAATTGCAAAAAATCAGGAAAAATAATATACCCAAAAAATTTGCTTGCAAATAGATTAAAGAGAAGAAATTTATACTGCAATTCAAATTCCTCAAAATGGGAATTAAGCAATTTAAATTCCTCAAAATGGGAATTAAGAAAAAAGAAGAATTCACAATTTGATGCTAAACACCAAAATCTGACAAAAGGGGGCCACAAACAAATTTACAGTTCTACCCTTCCCCACTAAAACCACCAATCAAAAAGAAAATCCGGCGCCGTTTCACTACTGACACCGCCACTCTCTAACCTTGTCCACCCCAAATTAGCCCCTACTGGATCTTACCATGTGCCACTCCTCACTGGATCCCTCCACCATTCGGTTCGATAAGAACCTTTTTTTAGGCGTGTATCCAAAAAAAAAAAAACCAAAAAACAAATAATATATATTTTTAAGAATATTCTACGCATCAAATACCAATTTTTAAATTAATTAATTTTTTTTGTTGGTATTGAATGACAAAACCTAGCAAATTTCAGCGGAACGGTTTGTTGGGTGGGTTAATGGGCCCCAACCGCGTTGTAAACGGCTTGACAACCGGGTCGTTAACGCAGAGGTGAAACGACGCCGACGCCGTGTACCCGTTCTTCTTCGCGTTCGCGCACTCCTCGCAATAAGCCATTTTTATTTCCTTGTTCGTCGCCGTTGACGGAACGTCGTACCAGCCGTCAACCATCGGAATTGAATCCATACCCATACCCGTACCCGGATTCGGATTCGGATCCGAATCGAAATTTACCCTCGCCATAGCCATCTGATAATTCTCTCTCTGAATCCTCAGGCTCTCCAGCCGATCATTCAAATCCGAACGATTAAACTGGTCGTACAGAGGAGGCGCCGCCTGATTCCTCCGGAGGAGAATCAGATTCTCCGGCACCGGCAGCGAACGAATTCGCGGCGGAGAGAACTCGTTCTCCAGCAGAAAATCCGCGAACTCGACGGCGTTGGCCGTCCTCTCCCTCCGGTTCCTAGATTTCCGCGACCTCTTCAGGACGACGAGGAAGCAGCAGTCTCTCTGGCGACAAATCAGGCCGAAGTTGACTTTTCCGGTGATCGGAATTCGGCGGCGTTCCTCCGGGAACGGCGACTTGTGGTTCGATCTCGGAAGGTGGACGAGGTAGATAGAGATTTGATTGGGGGAGATCCCGATTTTCTGGCTGAGCATGAGTTGAAACGGCTTGTACTCGAGCGTGGGGTGGATTTTGACATCTCCGATGTTCATCTCCCTTTCGCCGTCGAAAAACAGCACCGGGAACGCCGGTCCGCCGCCGCCCTCCACCATGACCGAAAGAAATTGAAAAATATGAAGGAAAAAAAACAGAGAGAATGAAAGAAAAGTATGTAAATAGAGAGAGAAAAGGGGAGGGTTGGGGGTTTATGGTGGGGATAGCAGGGGTATTAAAATATGACGGTGGGGGTAGTTTGGGGATAAAAAGATTAAAAAGGAAGATTACGTGGGATTGCAGAGTAGCTTCGAGAGAACACTTCTAAAGGGAAATTACTTGTGCTCCAAGCAATTCAGTATATGTGGTATACCGTCAAACTGTCATGCCACCGCGTGATTCCTATTATTGTATTTTTGTTTTAATATTGGTTAAATTATTAAAAACCCACTGGTCTAGGTTAAATAACGAAATTTACCCTCACATATCCGTAATAACCAAAATCCCCTGATTAACTGTTGATCGAGTGTTTTAACAGAAAAATGTACAGTCTACTATTATGTTCAATAAGTGAGAAATAAAGTTCGCATGGGTATAGCTCAACTGATTCCGATGGTGGTAAGTTGGTACAAGGTCCTAGAATCAAACCCCGACAGCCGCAGTGTGGGAATTTCAACTCCAATGAGGGTTGATTCCTTGTCGGCACCAAGTTAGGGTCAACTATGCTAACAGACCACTGATTCACCATGATTTACATTCTTCCATCAAATACTTGTCGGACCAAGGAGGGGGGTCTGAGGGCGAGAGATTTGGCCTTTTGGTACCATAAGTGAGAAATAAAAGAAAATATCTAAAATTGTGTAAAGTCTAGTTCCAAGAATAACTCATACTGTAACTGGTTGGTGTAAGACATAAACAATGTTCAAGGGGTTTTCGTAATTACGAATAGGTGGAGGTGCTTTTTGTAATTTAATCTAAGTCTAGGGAGGTTTTCGCAATTTACCCTTTAATATTTTATTTCCAGGAAATAAGATGCTCGTTGTTTGTAGTTTCGTAATGGACGGTTTTGCCCTCTATTTTCAGGGTTTGACTACAAGTCAACCTTATTTTTCTTTTCTTTTTTGTCTTTTCCGGGTTGTGGGGTGGGGGGTTAGGGGTGGTTCTGTTTCAAAGTAATTTTCCTTTTTGAGGGGGAGACCTATCTTTAGGGAATATTAACACTCAGACTTGACTAACAAGTAATGAATAATGATATCGATTTGGTATGTATATATTTTTGTTTTTAATTGTATGCATAGATAAAAAGGATTATCACAATTTGCATTTTTGCCCCATTATTTTAATTATTTGGACTAAAACAGAGAAAAAGGTAGTTGGACAATGTCTTTCACAATTACATAAAGAGATTTGTGATAGACAAAAATAATAATAATAATAATAATAAAATTAGAAATTATTTTTTTAGGAAAAAAAGTAATATTCTTGTTTCACACAATTGTGCAAATTAGCATGTCATGTGCATGATGGGAACCATGTGCAAAGCGGAATTGAACAATTCAGTGCTACAATATTTGCTTTCAAATTATCATATATATTAAAATTGCTTTCAAATTACCATTTTCAGTAAGATAGTGTATTCAAGAATTGCATCGAAAAAGATTGGTTGGTGATTTGATTTGATAAGGTAATTACATAGAAAGAAAGAAAAAAAAAAGAAAGAGGTGTGACCTTCATTTTGCTTTGTGCAATTTAGTCAAGTTTCAAGATGAGAATGAATGGTAAATTACAACTGGTCCCTAAAGTAAGGTCTATTTAAGAAAAAAAATCACTCATTTTTTTCATAATTACATCCACTGCCCTGTGATTTATAGATTTCTTACATTAACACTCTTTTATTAGTTTTATAGGGGGTGGATGTAAAACTTCACAAACTACAGGGGGGGTTGGATGTAATTTCTCAGAAAGGAGTTTTTTGTAATTATACTTTACCTCAGGGAGGCGGTTGTAATTTACCCGAATGAACCAAGAAATTTGAAATTGGTCTCACCGAAATTTTGACAACATTGATATACAGAATGAACATCACACTTTAAAAACGGCGAGAGTTGAACTCTAATAATATTATGAACTCAATCGGATTAGCAAGACTCGTACGGTGGAATAACGACCGGTCTTAAAAACAAACGGTTTCGTGATTTAGACAAAGCATTTAAATTAACCACCAATCTCATTATCGTTACGCCAAAATTACAAAATTGCGAAAGCAGGATTTATGATCTAACTATCATTTGCAATGAACTCTATTCTGTATCAGTTGTCGTATAAACTAAGAAAGAACTTACTCCTGTATAACTGCAAATCAGAGCTTTTCCAAGTGACGTGGGCTGAGAAAATGCCAACTCTGCACGATCAAGAACCGAGCCTGTGCAAAAATTCTTCCTGTTCCAACGAAAAACCGAGTCCATAACCATGTAAAAAAAATAAAATAAACCTTAACTCGCTTAATTAAATGAAAAGACGAATAAATAAAAAAAACCTACCGTACGGAATCAAGTAAACTGCTTGCTATATGTTTTCTCCTGTTAGAAGGAGTGACCCAAACGGCTCTAATTCCACATACAGCTGGCAAAGCTTCGTCCTTGCACAAAATAACTCCATCGTGGCTTTCTTCTTCGGGACTTTTTACAATATCTCTTCTAATGATTTCTCTTTCGAGACTAACACCACCAAATTGAAGAGTCCTACGTTTTTCCTTTCCAGAAACATTACGTGTTTCTCCCATTGAGCTCGATAGAATTCTGTAAGCCTTTTTTATCGGTTCTGCAACAATACATCCGGATACCCTTTGTGACGAAATAAATAGATATACCTACCAAGAATAAAACGCGTAAATTTCTTCCCAAGTTAATTAAACTCAAGAATTGCATTAAAGTACCTTACCGACGGATTTCAATTGGTACTTAATTGCATTAAAAACCATTGTGATTCTTGAATTGTGTTGTGCTATACCTTACATTGCTTGTGAAGAATCCACCCATTCCCGAGCTCCATTTCCATCATGTCCACAACTTCTTGAACCTGCGATTTTTTTCACTAGATTCAACATTAAAAAAAGAAAATTGCTAAAAGAGAGAAAACGAAACCAAATTTGTTCGTCAAATACGAAAACTCTTATCCATCACTACCTTATTATGCTGAGCAAGAGGATCACCTTCCTGCACCAAAATAACGCGCCCCTTTTCAAGTGTATCTACAATCCTCTCGCTGCGCCAACCCTAAGAAAATAGAGAAAATTATAACTAACAAACAGCAAATATAAATAATTAAATAAACTGAAATAGTTGACTACCTTAAGTGGAATCCCGTGAGTGTAATTCTTGTGAAATGTTTTGTGAACCTTTTCATCGCCTTCGTCGCCGGTAGCATACTTAAATCCACATGTTTTACATGTGTGCAATAAGAAATTAGATTGACCAACCTCCAAATGTAACTGAGCATAATTTCTCTTTTTATTCAGAACTTTGCTACTCTTGGCTTGCTCCGGTTTGGTTAATTTTTCCTCGTAATCACTTTCCCCGCCATTTGATTCGCTGTTAATCTCACTACATGACAAACAAAACAAACCGCGTTCGAACTTGAGCAACGTTGAACCGAAATACCCAGGGTACTAGATTAACTGAATAGTAAAGCAATCGGAATATTTCAAGAGTACAAAAAATAAATCAGCAACAGTATAATTAATAACAGTAGTAATTCCTAAAACAAGAAGACTAATTCAAAGAATGTAAAAAATACAAAGTCCAACATCTGTCGAATTGAAAGAATCCCCAATTTCCACCAGCAAAAATAATTTTTTTTTTTTAAAAAAGGGAAAACCTAACGAACATTGAAATTGAAGGAAACCCATGATTTTTCATACAGTAAGATTATTCAGTTCCAAAAATTCACCGACCTAAAACACTAACAACCAGAAAAATGGAAATAAGAGAAAACCCTATTATGTTAGAACTAAATAAATCGAAGCAGTAAATAACAAGATTTTTTTTTTAGAAGAATCATGTGAACAAAATTACCCTTGTTTGATAGATTTCGTGCGTCGTTTGTAGGTGACAGTGATTTCTGGGTATTCTTGTAATTCTTCAGAAACATCAAAAAATGAATTGGGGGAAAGCTTTGATGAAGATTCCTCGAGTGAAGAAGGTTTGAAGAATGCGCTGATCTTTGATTGCATCTCTCCTTCGATTCGCGATTTTGCTATCGTCCTTTGGTTATCGATCGGCAGATCTGTGTGAAAAAAAAAAAAAAAAAAAAAAGGCGAAAGGGGAGAGGAATTGGTTTTCGAATGATTTTTCTCCCGCCAAAATAAATTTTTGACCCGAATAGATTTCCGGTAAATAGAACTTTTCATCAGCCCAATTATTGTCAGCAGCCCAATAAGTTGTGCTACTGTAGAACTTCTAGTTATATATTTGAATGAGCATATTATGAACCAGTGTTTTGAAAACTGGACCGGACCGGCCGGTTCAACCGCGAACCGCTGCCGTGTTCGGTCCGGTTAGATCTCAAAAACCAAAAAACCGGGCCAACTATCAAAATCCCGGTTAGACCGGTAAGAACCGGAAAACCCGGAACCCAATCGTAGAACCGGGTTTTAGCTAAAAAAGACATGTCTTGGCCGGATCTGCGTCGATGGTAGTTGAATCTCGTCGGAGAAAGTTGTAAATGAACAGATCTAGGCGGATCTTAGTCGTATGTTGCATAATACAAGTGATGGCCGCCATATCTATCGACTGAAGAAAATGAAAGGAAGAAGGTGAAAGTTAAGACTTAAGATGAAGAGAAAAATTAAAACGAAGTGGAGAAATATGGCGGCGGAGAGAAGAAAGAAAGGGAGAAGAAGAAGAAAAGAAGAAATAAAGAAATGAAGAAAGGGAATAGAGGAAAAGGTTATTATATTATAAATTATGGTTTCCTATTAAATAAAAAAAAATTATAAATTATTTTTTAATAAGAAAAAGATGGTGGAGTAAGTTGGAAAAATAAATTGACAAAAGTGGGAAGAAATAATTAACAATATATAAAAATATTTTATTTAAGGTATTAAATTAATAAAATAATTACATGAAAAAAAAAATGTAAAAAACCCGGTCGGACCTCGGTTGAACCGGTCCGACCATGACCCAGTTACTTGTCCGGTTCGACTTCCGGTCCGGTTTTCAAAACATATGAACACATGTGAGGCCAGATCAAATTACGAAAAACCCATCATATTTGCATAATTATAAGCACCACTCAACTATGTATTATCTTACGAAAAAATCCTCCACTTAATAAATTCAGGGCCTTTCATGAGTAAAATTGTATAGAAATTGTGGTACGCCAAAATTTCATATTGTTTAGCATTTGGTTCGATAAATAATCAATTACCAACATTTTATTAAAAAAAATATTTTTAATTAGTTTTAGTTTATCTATATATATATAAATATAATAAAAGTGAATACCACACCGAATACACGATTCCGTAATCGGCATAATATAAGGTTTTTCATTAGGTTCGATCGAACTGCTGACCGGATGAACATTCCAAGGTAAATTTGAAATTTTAATGGCGGACGCGTAACCATACCTCAGGAAGGGAGCGGCACAAGTTGTAGTATGAAGTGTTCATATTAACTGTACAAATAACATTTACTCCAATCATAACAATGCCCCACATTCAAGTTTACCTCATCTCAGAAGGAAGACGAGAGAATTAAGGGGGTGGGTTTCAGTACTCTTAATAATTTAAGTGTTACTCGTACAAACATAACTAGAAGACAGCCTTTTAATTAAAAAAAAAAAAAAAAAAAAAACGACCTTTAATTTTGCTTCGATGAAAAAACTAAAGGGAAAAAACCCGGAAAATTGGTTGGTATTTCACTAGCAGCTCCTAATGTATGAATACTTTTGCATGGGCCAACAAACAAACTGGTCGGGACAAGATCAAATATGCTATCGAATCTGTCTTCTTCGTGTTGATCGAAGATCCTAGACGCAGAACAAGTAAAATCTGTTAGAAAGAGAAAATGTTTTAATTAAAATAAAAGGAGACAATAGAAACAAGCTTCGTCGAGTTTCGGGTCAAGTTTAATTAAGCATGTGAAGGAACGCAACTCCTATTATTGCACAATCCTACGAAGGATATTACCCAATACGAGGAATGTAGAATTATAAATCTCAAAGATAAACATAATAGCATATTACATGATCATGTATAATGTAATTCTAACCAATTCAACCAAAGCTAAGAATGAAGAAACACATACTCTGCCGCATCACTCAAGTTAGGGGTGTCACACCACTTCGTTTGACGCGATAGCTCTCATTCGATCGTATGCCTTTTGAATTTTATGCCTTTCCTCTAGGGTCAAGTTTGTCCCTTCAGCAGACTGCAAGAGAGTGATGTCATGTTCATCGTGTTAAATACAATAAGGTTTATTACCATGTGATTTAAAAAAAAAATTAAATAAATAAATAATAATAATAATAATTATTATTATTATTATTATTATTATTATTATTATTATTATTATTATTATTATTATTATTATTATTATTATTATTATTATTATTATTATTATAATAAATAGTAGGGAAAATTGCACATCACCCCCTGTAAATTTCTAATTTTTTGCACTTTACCCCTCATTTTTTGTAAAAGTGGATCTCCCCCTTCAAAATGTTATTCTTGTTGCACATTGCCCCGATAGCAAAACTCCGATGGATGATTCATCGGAATTGAGTTTTTTTGTTGTTAAAAACACTATTTTTTTTGCACGTTACCCCTTTAAAATGTTATTTTTGTTGCACAATGCGCTTCAAAAATTGGCTTCTGGGCAAAGTGCAGCCAAAATAATATTTCGAAGGGGGAGTATCCCTTCTTAGAATTTTTAGGGGGGAAAGTGCGAAAATGGGAAATTTATAGGGGCTGAAGTGCATTTTGTCCTATATAAAATAAAAAGCTATGCTCATACCAGCAAATTGAGTAGATTCTGCAACATAGTCTCACTTTCAATCTTGCACGACAACAGAATTTGTCTGATCTTGACATCTTTGTTCATGTGGAAGAGTACTGAGCCGATGGCACATATCGTAATTGAACGATCCGCTGTGAGATGAGTGTGACGGGAACCAAGTGATGAACTAGGCTCCGAAATCCAAGATCCCATCGTATTTAGGACAAGACTTGATAGTTTTTTGCTCCCATAAAACAGATGAAAGGAAGGTAACAAGTAATAACTTCTCCTTTTTGCACGAGTGACAGGGGTCGACTCTTGATCATCTTCCTTAAATGTCTGCATCAAAAAGCAGCAAGGACAGAGGGGCAACTACGTAAATTGATAATTCTGACACGAGATAAAGAGTAATATCTACTTATAATAATAAAAATACAAGGAGAGGTACTCACAGATACAACATCGATCAAGTATCGTGCAAGAGCAAGGCTTAACTTGACAATACTCTGATCAGAAAGTCTAGTTGGTCGCGAGTCGAGTGTGACGAGCATTCTGAGGAAACCGCACTTATTTTCCATCGGCATTTCACCGCACTGAAACAAAGTTATTATAAATGAAAATTATTAAGCATGAAGATTATGAAGAGAATTATGGTCGTGATTTTTTTATGGTCAGATAACATACAATTTGATCAATGATTATGTTCTCCAGTAACTGAAAAACAAGATAATCGTCGCCGATCTGTGACAAACATGAGCAAATACTGCTGGTAACAGATTTGAATGCTTTGGGATTGGACTTCCCGTTATACTTGATAGCAGACTCGGTTTTTTCTGCAAAGCAATCCAAAACAATTAAATATAAAAAAAATCTATGATAATTCCAATGCAACAATAGAAACGAGATGCAGCTGATTTGAATTCTAAGATACCTGGATAAACTTGGAAGCGAGAGAGTAAAGTGACATGGAAACTTGTGTAATCTGCCACTTGGATGTGTCCGGCTCTAAAGGCAGATTGCAGAACTTCTAAGATACGTAAAATCATCGACGGCTCAATATCATCACCTGAGGTTAGTGACAACACAAGGGCTTAGTTACGAAAAGAAATATGGAAAATTTGAAAGCAGCAATTAACAACACAGCAATGAAAAGGAAAGGATCGTAGGTGTGTGACGTGATACTTACATAAGCAACACGAAACTAGTGACTGCAAAAGCTGTGCGTCCATGAACGAGAAATAATAAAGGCAACAAACGGCAAGCTCCTGTATATCTGCTCCCAGCCTTACAAAGGGACCATAGCATACAGCTGCGAATCATATATTATATTAAATATATGGCAAATGTAGCAAAAGAAGAAAAGAGGAATGAAGTGACTGTATACAGTAAGGATGGCAATTATCCCGACCTGAATTTGGAAGTTAATGCACATACGGGGAGGGTAGGGAACAGTACAGTTTTTTATTTTATTAAAAAAAAACATAATTGTACCGTAAAAATTTCGTGTACATACATACAAATTATTTAAGTATACCCTTAATGTTACTTCAATTACGAAAAATTGAACCGTTATATTAAAACCCTAATAAGCAATGCTTACCATTATCGATTTGTTGGCTGAAAAAACATCTAAAACTGTACTGCATAGTGTCAAATTCCTGAGAAAATATAGAGTTAACTGGAGCAACTTGTCCAACGTGAAGTTGAAGGCGTAACACAGCCTGCAGAAAGAACAATCATTAGTGGCTGCGCTCGTGGGATACAGCGTCTACGAGAGAATTTCTAAAACAGCATAGAAACAACATGAAAGTACCTCGGAACATAGTGGGCTTTTGTTGTCCAGCAAAATTAGCAACGAAGGAAGATAATGCATCCAAGTAATCTGATAGTCTAACAGTGTCGGATCATTTGCATCAAGGTTCCTTTCCTGATGCACAAAAAAAAGTGAACCCAATATTTATCTTGAGAAACCACAATTATTGATTGACAATTATTTTGAAAAACAAATGACATTCTGAGTTACATGCAAGTGCAATATCCTAAGTTGAACTGTTAAAACCAATCCTACAATGATATGACTAAGAAAAGTAGCAAATAGGCATCTTACAGGAGCAAGCATTTCTTCAATTACGGAAAGGCAAGCCAATTTCATCGGAGATTCTGGACTCGAGTTCCTGAAAACCTCAGTAAAAGCCTGCAACAACAAATGTTGGTTAAAATTAGAGGCCCCATAAAGAGGATAAGAATATTACGGGACAAAACAGAGAATGACGATAAACAGCTAATTGGCAAAGCAATAGTTGAATATTTAACCTGAAGAGGTGTCAAAGTGGATCAACATTGCCGCCCTTGGATGTAATAAGTTGGGAAGTGTATGGGATATGTGGAACGCAGTGTCTCTCCTGAAAAACTTTACCCGAGTGTGTCTGCATATAATGTATCCATTATATATTGAAATATGTGCTGAGGAGATTGTGTGAAAAAAAAAAAAAAAAAGCAGAGCTGATTCCATATATGGGACAAGAGTATTCCAGCGCTGGTGAAAAGTGTAACCGAAACGCGCAAAAAGGAGAAGGTTATTCGACACCAAGATTAAATCTAATAACGAATTTATGACTAAAAGGCCTAAATAGTAGCAAAGGCCACCAGACCATAAAATGCTAGATTTTAGGGTCTTAATAATGACATAAGTCCCATAAAAATAGGAAGTCCAATAAGCAAAACCTTTGTATACAGTAGAACTCTCAATAAATTCGAGAAACTTGTCCAACAACGCAGAAGGAGAGTAGCTGCATTTACTCGACTGCAAATATATTTTGGTAATTACAGTATCTAGCATGAAGATCCGATCTTCTTCCTGCAAAGAATAGAGCAAAGAAAAATTATAGATTTATGTCCTTCCAAAACAAACGGAAATTCTTGGTGTTATTTACAACTAAAAAATCGGAAATAAATTAACCGTGATTTTTTCATTTCAGTGGATGTAGAACAAAAAAATCGGAAATAAATTAACCGTGATTTTTTCATTTCAGTGGATGTAGCTATTAGGCAATAAATGTGCAATATAAACTACTCCTTGAAATAGGAAAATATACCTTGCCTGAGAGATGATGAACTAGGTTGAGGGGAAACACATTCCATAACTTCTTTAACATCATTGGCGATAATGATTGATCATATGTGATCGCACCGGGCTTCTGAAAAGGTAGAAGAATATGTGGGTCCGGTTCACTTCTGCAAATCCCACTAACCAAAAACCCGATTATGAAATCTACGCTCTGAAGTATAAATTGCAAACAATCACATGATTGCACATCTAGTTGGGTTGTGCTGTGCAGAGATGGCATGAAATCATGGAAACAACCAACAAGAATGGACAAAAGATCCTTCAACTGCTTCGTAATGTCGCTAATCCCTGCCAAACATGGAATCAAAGTGTTCTGGTGTTAAGCAGTTTTCTCCAAATTAGGAATTGAATCGAATCACACCCAAGTTTAAGGCATATCACCAAACTCAGAAATGAAAATTTTCTAGACCTTTTTTTTTTTCTCAAAAGGACCTCAAATCAATTGAAATTCTGACAAGAGGTAGAGAATAAAATAATGCACCTGATGGAAGTGAAAGTTTTTGGAACTGATCAATAGATTCTTTGGCATCCTCGGGCTCATAAGCATGAAGCATGCCATCTGCCTGAGTATCCTGTAAAAAGCGAGTCTTGATTTAGTATTCAATCTAAAGCACAGTTGATGAAAAAAAAGATGACAACCTGGCTAGCATAGGACAACTAATGAAAGTAGATGAGATAAGATAGCCGCAAATACATCCAAACTTATTACATGGCCAGGCTTCATTAAAATAAAGCTACATTGATAAACAAAAACACACACGCACAGTATCTTAAGAAGAAATAACAGAAGAGAGAAAACTTTGACAATTTAAGCATGAAAATTTGCATTAGGAATCTAAATGTATAAATGTAGTGTATGTAATTTAATGCATATAATCATGCTAGTAACATTAATTCATTAAAGAATACATTTTTAACTGCCGAGTGATTCCTCTCATTAGATGGTAACAGTGATAAGCAACGAATCAGTCCGGCTAGAATGCTCTTTAATTTGCTCTTATCCTCTAAAAAATGTTTCTTCCGCATTATATCTTCATACTTCGGGAGAATCTGCAGATATTATGTCAAAGTTTCAGGTAAATAATGATGAAATAGATTAAACTAACTTCACAAATCAGCCATGTGATCATATGGAAAGAAAGATGAATGATCCAAACTAAAATCCCATCAGTGGAATTTGTCCGTGGCATACACTGAGAATGACAGAACTCGTTAATTTCAAGAGTATGTAGACAACTACAGGTTATACAAAGCTATCCCTGAAAATCCAAACATGTATGCGATGAAATACAAGATTCGGCATTGGAAATGAGAAAAGATGGGCATACCTTTTCAGCATACAAGGCGAATGAAGAGGGATAAAACTGGACAACAAGGTCAAGAATTTTAAAAGCCATCAATCGCACATCTAGTGCTAAATTAGTCATGGCGTCAAAAATATATGCCATCATCAAGGAAACTAATGGTCCTTGGTTATCCTGTAAAAGAAAAGCATAATATCAACTATTCAAATCTAACTGAAAATATCTTTAAAATGCCGGTACAATAAATTAAGATGTACGACATAATGATACCAAGAAGTGAAAACCACCCACTAAACTATTGAGAACAAACAAGATACCACATCATAATAAGAACCAATATTCTGGCCCTCGAGAGTCGGGGAAAGTTAAGTTAACTATGAGGATCTAACAAGAAAGAAAGATGAACTAACACCTCTCATACTAAACCATGCAATGAAAACTGGGCTCCAATGCTCCTCGAGTCATTAGTTGTTACTTGTATTAAGATTTACTAACAAAAGCAACCTTCCAATAACATCTCTACAAAGAAATGACGAATGTATACATACAAATCCTAAGATAGTAAGTACAGATTTCCTTTTGGCATGGAAATTCAGTATACCACCGATTCTACTATCTAGAAAATAAAGTAACACCATAATAACGCCTTGAGTAAGTAATAAACATATATGTTTCAAGTGAGATTTGGGACATTTTTTTTTTAATATTTCAAGTAAGAATTCAGACAAAGTTAAATCTAAAACAACCTTAATTCAAGATAGCTGCACACTGGATAATGCAAAAAAATAAAGTTTAATAACTTAAGCATGCGATATCTACCATAATATTAATAAATACCTTTACACAGCCCGGGAAAATTACTGTCTTAAAAAGTTGATACAGCGTTTCACGGACCAATTTATCATCATCACTGATGAGTTCACGCAGTTTTTCTATAACAGCAATTTTATTCAACCTCAGCTCAGCTGGGTGCTTAAGCAATATATCTTTGATACCTAATAATGCACCTGGAGTAAGGATAAACACTTTGTTAGCATTTCTTAATTTAAAAAAAAAAAAAAAAAAAAAAAAAGTGAGAGTACATGTTCTTGGTAAACTTTATTTATGTCAGTTCGGTAAACTTGAATGTTATAAAATCATGAGAAATAATGAAAAAATCATATACAGCCGAATGGTATTACAAGGGGTCAACGATAAGGTTTATCAAGCTTTTTAGATATCCAACCTAGATTGAAGGTTTAAAATGATAACTAAGGGAACCAAAAATGTACTCTTTTGCCATCTCACGTACATGTTGATATTGCAAATAACTTCCGTCCAATTGTTCATGCTCAACGAATCACAAAACTGATAGTTCATATTCAGTATCATTTTTTTTAAATTACAGCCGTGCATTTATATCCATTTCTGCATCAAACGAATTAAAGTACATTTCGACTCTGTATCGAGTGGCATTTCAATAATCAAACATAATTGAAAGAGCAGACCTTTTCGGACTTTGTTATTGTGATGGCTCGTGTGCTGAAGAAGCTCCTTCAATGTCAAACCCTTCTTGCTGACCGCTAAACCCGCCTTCTCAGCTGTTATACTTTGCTCCGGAAGAACTATAGCTTTCGACTTAATTTCAGTGTTTGTAGCATTCTTCGGAGGGGGTAATTTCCTTCCAATTTTCCGCTTAATTTTCTGCCAACATAAAATTACAGAGCTTCAGAATTCATTCTCCCCAATATTAATTAGACGAATTTACGATCCTTACCTTGAAATCCACACCGCCTTTTCTAGGTTTTTTCTGAGATTTAGGTTTCCCCATTATCCCCTTTCTTCTACCGCGGTGGTTTTACAATGTTAATTTTTCTACCTATCCAATAATCTTAGCCGAGTCGGTTCCCGCTGGGTAAGATAACGGCCGGTAATCGCTCTCTGCACGGACGTTAGGGGAACGGCGGTAAGAAAAACGGCTGCCGTTAACTAATGCTTCCGTGAGAGCGGAAATCCAAAGGCGGGGTTTAGTTTAAGGTTTAAGACACAAAACCAGAGGGGAGATTGGGAGTGACGGAAGTTTGTTTTGGGCCTAACGCTGAAAGCCCGTCTTAATTAGTGGGCCTATCTGAATATTCTATTTTATTAATGGGCCATTTTGGAATAAATTTCAACAACAAAACACAAAACTATGCCCAATAATTACCACTCATAAGGTCCAATCTAGTGAAATATATGAAATTATCTATAAAAAAAATTAAAAATATTTAAAAGTTTGATTTTGTAATAGATGTTAGTTTAAATACTAATATTACATATACAATTGTATATTCATTAAAAAAAAAAAATCGAATATCGAACTGAACCGCATATTTCGATTCAGTAAACAATACGAAATTTCTGCTTACCGAAAATTCAGTACGGTCTTGCCAAACAAACACCCCTAAATTTACCTACTGGAGATTTTTTTTTTTTAAGAATACATAATTTATGGAAATACAGTAATTATCCAAACATGAGGGGTTTTCGTAATTTAACATTATCCTCTGATATACCGTAATTTGCCCTAATTTTACACATAGCGAACGTGACAACTCATAAGGATAATGGGCTTGTAATAATTCAACAATAATTCCCTGACAACCACGTATTGATCATGTGGCAACTAAGATTATATTTTATTTTATTTTATTAAATTTAATTTTTTGGTCACGTGGCAACTAATTAAGATACCAACACTGAAAATTAATGCTCAAAACCTTGAGCCCTTGACATAGACGCACCATGTTACCTCCAATCAATCTACTTTTCTGGATCAATCATTCATTCAACTTAACCTATTAGATCTCAATTTATCAAAAAAAAGATAACCTATTAGATCTCGACACGTGTTGCTATTTTAGAGCATTTTCATATGACTTTTCTTTTCTTAAATACTAATCAAATCAAATGTCAGCAACATTGTCACTTTTGAAGCACTATATATGTTTTTTTTTTCTCCCACGAAATCAAAGAAACAAAATCATCTTTTTGAAGATCCAATCAAATTAGTGACTTTGATGCGTTCTTCAAGAATATTCGTGTTTGGTACAGAACCATGTGTGTGTGTTTTGTGTGTGTTTGTGTGTGTGTGTGAGATTGAGACTAATCCACTTCCAATTGTTGGAAATATGGGACCATTTTCTTTATGCATGAAAATTATTATTTATGTTTTTTAAAATGAAATGGCCAAAAGAAAATAGTGAATTTTATGTCAATTTTCGTATACATATTGATTTATAATTTAGCAAATTATTAGGACACTGTTAAGACGATGTGGCATGTTGATAAGCATTTTGCACCTAAATTTGTTTGGTTGTAGGTTCGAGAAACTCGGGGGGAAATTGAAGAATCAATCACAGCCCAATCATCGTGTGTAGTATCAAGAAACCATGAAAAAGTTTTCATAATTTCCAATTTTTTTGGGGAGTGAAAACTAGTACTTGATCATTGCATAAATATAACCACGAAAAGTACGGTCCCTTCCACCCCAATCATCGGTGTAGAATCAAGAAAACCATGAAAAGTAATTCATAGATTCCGGTTTTTTCGGAAGTGAAAATTTAATTATAATTTTGGAGAAATCGAAAATTTGAAATTGAAATGTGAAAACTTGTTCCAAAATTGAAAATTTTCTATTAAAACCATTGGAATTCAGAAATAAATAATAATATTGATATTACAAGTGTAATTTTTAGAAAACAATTGAAATATACGGAAATGTAAATTGTATCGGGAATCCGAATAAAATATGTATTACAATTCCATTACAAAAAATAAATAAAAAAATAGAATCGAAACTTTCAAAATTCAGAATGAAAAACATTTATCAAATCCAAAATCGACAAAATCCCGGACCGAATTCGGCGGGATTCGGAATTTTGGTTCCAGTTTCCACCATAAGTATAGGTGGAAATTAAATGTAAAAAAAAATCCACAAATCAACATAATATCATCCAAAACTGTAACAAGAATGGCAGTTGCAAGAAGCTAACTGCTTACTAATCTATATCTACATCCCACAAAATTAATATTGCACAATAAAAAGAAAAAGAAAAAAAATCACACACACAAACACAAACAAGTTATCTACATCTATATCTACAAATCATAAATAACCTAAATCTACCTGCCGTCGACTGAAGTGAACGACTCCCCAAATCCGGCAGGCCTCGCCGGAATACTGCCCTTACTATCCTCCAAATCCATAAAGCTCGCGTCCTTCCCCTCGGATTCCTGCCAATCCTTGACCATCTGATTAAGCGGCAGGCTGTAATCGATCCCGCAGTACTCCTCCGCTTCGTGCTTCAGAGGTTTCCATTTCTCGACGAGCGACGCCAGAACGTTCACTGCGTGGCCCATATCGGGCCGTTGACCGGGCTCCCTCGCCGTGCAGTGGCCTGCTAGTTCGGAAATAATCGAGACGCTCTCTAGGGTTTCGTCTTCCGTGTCAAGAGAAGGGTCGATTGCAGCCATTAGCTTCTCTTTGTTCGATTTGATGCGCCAGAACCATGCGACTAGGTATTGGCTCTCCTCGGGACGGTCCTCGTCGAGGGCCATCATTCCGGTTAATAGCTCCATCAATACGACGCCGAAGCTGAACACGTCGGCTTTTGTCGTGATTTTACCCATAACTGTATTAATTTATTTTTAACAAGAAAAATTATCATGAGAAATATAGTTAAAGGAAAAAAAAAAAGGATTAGATGATCAAAAATTCAAAACTAGGGGTGAAAATTGAAATCGAATTTCTGAATTCCGCCAATTCTGTTTCGAGTATTTTCAATTCTGGAACAATATTTTTTTATTCTGATTTTAATAGAATTGGAATACTTATTAGATTCCGATTTTAATTTCGAAAAGTGAACTTATAATATAATTAGAATTATGTATAGTATGTTATAGGTGACATAACATTTTGGAAATTCCGAATTTTTACTGATTCCGATAAAAAAAAGAAAAAAAATCCGATTTGGGAACAATTTTTTTTATTCCAATTTCCAAAATTCTGATTTTTTCGATTGTTTTTTAGAACGGAACTGGAATTAGATTTTCACTTCTTAAAAAAGAAATTGTTTCGAAATTGCTAATTCCGATCACGATCCATCCGATTTCCGCCCATAATCATGCACAAATCTATTTTAGCATGCACTCTATGAAGAAAATTGTGAAAAAGGAAAAAAAAATATTATTCTAAATTTGGTGATGAAATTTTCTTCGAAAAGTAGATCAAGAACACACAAAAACACGAAACGCAATTCTTACCCGCATATTCCGGCGCAAGGTATCCGAAAGTGCCCGCTAGCCGCGTGACAACCGACTTCTCACCATCCGGAGCAAGCTTCACGAGACCGAAATCCGAAACCTTGGCTCGAAAATCATCACCGAGCAAAATATTCGACGATTTAAGATCCCTATGTATAAAACTCTGATGAGCTAGGTTATGAAGGTACTCCAATCCTCTAGCAACATCCAAAGCTATATTCAGCCTCCTCTTCCAAGAAAGTGGCTCCAATTTTAATTTCTCCCAATTAAATAGATGCCGACTAAGAGCGCCTTGCGACATATACTCGTAAACAAGAATCCTCTCGTTCCCTCCGACCGAATACCCCAAAAGCGACACCAAATGCCTGTGCCGAACTTTCGAGAGAACTGCAATTTCCGATTGAAATTCGTCGATCGCTTTGTTAGTAATCACCCCGTTTTCCATTCTTTTGACCGCTATTTTGGTCCCGTCTTCGAGTTCCCCTTTATACACTACGCCGAAACCCCCTCGGCCGAGCTCGTTTTCCGGGGCGAAGTTTTTCGTCACGTTTCGAAGGACTTGTACCGATATTACGAGATTGCCGGACTCGATCACGTGGGATTCGGTGCTGTTGGCGCTTGTCGAGCAGCTATTGGTCAATGAGGTCGTACTTGCGTTGTTGTTGTTGTTGTTTCTGTTGTTGTTATCCGCAATCACGATCTTGATCGAGTTGTCAGATGAGTCTCTTGGATGAACCACGAGTGAGCTTTGAGAAGGGTTTCGGTTATTTTTCCTCTTCTTGCAGAAACAAATCGAAATCGGCGCAATAATCAAGAAAACAAGAACTGCGAAACTCCCGGCAAAGGCCACAATCACGAATAACTTACTCGAACGCTTTTCTTTAAAAGGTTCGTGCGTGAGAGTGGCGGGGTTGTAATTATTAGAACCGTCGGTCGGTGGGGATGTGTTGTTTTCTCGAGATGGGGATTTATCAGGATTGAAAAGAGAGTTCCCATCTAAGATAAGTTTTACGTTGCTACTAAACCTCGGAATCGGAGGCGAAAGATTGTTCTTGCTCAAATTCAACAATGCCAAAAACTTCAAACTCGTCCAATTCGTCGGAATTTCGCCCGATAAATTGTTCGACTGCAGATATATATACGTAAGCGAATCAAGATCCGAAATCGAAGGGCTCAAATTACCCGAAAGATTCGAATTTGGCAAATTCAAAGTAATAATCTTTCCATTCGAATCACACCCGACACCTAACCAAGAAACTCGACACGGGTTATTACCAACCCAAGATCGGACAAGCTTGTCCGGATAACTCACTCCATCAAGAAACTCCAACAGCGACATCACATCCGGGCTGCACGGAGCTCCAGGATCCGGAAGACAAAACGGGTTCGACCCGTACGTAGCGTTAACCGTTCTAAACTTCGGAACGGGCCCCATCAAGTGGTTGTTGTTCAAATCCAATCGATCCAACGGCATGTCCGCCAGGCCGGCAGGCACCAAACCGACAAAACCATTGCCGTTCAAATTGAGATCGCGCAAGGAGATCAAATCGCCGATACTAAACGGGATTTTGCCGGAGAAACGGTTACCGTGCAGCCATAGACTAACGAGCGATTTCATGGTTGTGACTATGTCGATTTGACCGGTCAAGCCCTCGGACTGCTCGTTCAACCAGAGGACTACCAACAGAGAGCCACTGAAGGTGTTCGGTATAATGCCTGAGAGACGATTTAACGACAATTTCAGAACTTCTAAAGAAGACATGGTTCCCAAGAATGGGGGTAAAGCGCCGGCTAAATTGCAGTTCATTAGCGTGAGGTTTTTAAGCTGAGCTGAATCCTGCAAATCGGAAGGTAAAACCCAGCCGCCGTTTGTGGCGTTTAGAGGGTTGTTGTCTAGTGCTAAAACCTCCAAATTGACGAGCCCTCTGAAGAAATCTGAAGGGATTGTGTCGAAATTGTTGTAATCCAGATAGGCGTATCTCAATTTGGATAGTCCGTTAAAAGACGGCAACTCGCCGTTAAATTGGTTTCGCTGGAGGCCTAGATTTTGCAGCATGGACAATTGGTTGAAATTGTGGGGTAACGGCCCCTTCAGACCCAACCCTCTGACCTGAATCTGCGTAACTCTGTCGCCGGAGCAGTATACGTGGGGCCAGCTCGGCGGGCCGCATGGGTCGCCGGCGCCGCCATTGTCGGGCCATTTCAGAAGCTCGGCATTTTCGAGGTTCTTCTTGAACTGGTTCAGTACGGCTAAATCGTTTGGGTCTGTCACGCTTTGAACGACGGAGATGGTGAGCAGAAAAAGCGCCGCCGCGATTTTCATCTGGTTGTAATAATTGATGGCCGCCATGGGGAGTGGGTTGAAGCTGAGAAGGAAGAAGTGTGTGTATATCCAAGCATTGAGGGGGGTTGAAGAAAATTAAACTTAAGGAAGAGAAATTGTGAATCTTGATTGAGAGTGTATGTGTGGAAATTCAGACAGAGGAGTTGGCAGTGGATATCTTTTTCTTGATACATATGGGTGTTCCTTGTTTCTTGGTAGAATAATGGGGAGGGCAATTCCGTCTTTTCACCAGACTGCATTTTTTATTTTTTATTTTTTATTTTATATAATTGTATTTATGTTTATGACTTCACGGATAGGGCATTTCTTGGTTTATTTGTCCTGAGCTATTTATGACTCCATGCATGTATTGGCCATTTTTTTTAATCGAGAAATCTGCAGTCAATCGTATAGGTGTATTGGGTAAAATTACACTCTCGTATAATAGCTTGCAAATCACACAAGAGACGTATTGGACATTTCTATGTTTGTTCTGAAAGTGAATGTGCAATAATCTTTTGGCCCATTGATTTTCAAAATTGAATTTTAGGTTGCTCGTGAATTATGAATAAGTATATTAACTTGAGTCTGTTTGTTTATATTGTGGCCAACTTGAACTTGTGTAATTAATCTGAGCCGACTTTGGCTTAATTTTTGTGCCTATATGAACGACAATGGCCTTTCTATTTTTAATTTTTTGAATCTTAACGTTTCGCGGTGTCGTGTCGGTTCATATTTATTTATTTCGCAATGAAATAACGTATTTATTCATTTCGAAGACATGCATCATTAATTCTAACATGAGTTTTACATGGTTATTTTTATATTACATTCGGTGAAGGTTATACCAGACACTTTTTTGACGTTAATCTACATACACACATATAGTGTGCGTGTTTGTATGTATATGATAATGATAAATATACCAACATATTTTACCCGGTGTAAGATTATATAAACCAGTTTTAACCCATGAGTATTACGCTACCAACCATTCCAATTTTCAATTATTGAATTCCAATTATTGACCAAAATAAATAAATATAATTTAGTTTTGGGTGTACCGACATCCAAACATGGTCCTACGGGGTCCAGCCATGCTACTACATTCTAAGCACTACTCAGCACTAACTCAACTGTGTTGTTTCTTATTTCTTTATTTTTATAATTTGAATCTCTTATTTTTGTCCCGTTAAGATTATTGGCGCGGACAACCTTCTAATTTGTATTTTATGATTTATTATCCTTCGGATTAATATTGGTACTTTTTTAATATATAAATTTTATTTTTTATTACTAGGTAACTAACTATTTGCACTTGATTCAATCGAACTATAACGATCTATTAGGGCTGAGAATAAGTCGATTTTACTTACTAATTGAGTCGTTAGATAATCATTTGCAGATTCACTCGTGAAAAGTTGGACCGATCAAACACATAGATATGTGTCAGCTGGTGATTGTCAGTATTCTCGAAAGTCGATTGATTGATAATTACACGATCAACTACCGATTTTTCGGTAATGTAGTATTGTAATTTTGAGGTTAATATTAAAAATGAAAATTCGTTTTGTGGTGTAGGTGCAATGAAAAAGACGACCAATATGGATAATAAATAACATAAGATATATCCAACAATGTGAAAGTGTGGTGGTCGTTTTAGTCGTGTGATTTGTTGCTGCATACATGGAAATGCTGGTCAATTTCACTAAAAAAAATTCAAAAAGGAGAAAATAAAAAGATTTAGATAAGTATAAAATTTTATGAAATTAAACTATGGGATAAAATCTTAAATTAGTATTAAAACCTCTATATGCTAAGCCAGCTATCATGCAATAACTAAACCTATTAAATCACAATAGATGTGATATTTTTATTTTGTTTTTAATTTCGTCACGAGCTCAAGTGCCCCAATAAGATGTACCTTAAATAGCAAAATTTGAAAGATGTGATAATGTTGTTTAAATTTTAATAATACCGTTTCGATTTCAAATGTAATTTGACTGTTTTTGGGGCTGAATTTGGCAAAAATCGTCAAAACATAGAATTATGGTTATGCAAGTTAGTTTACTAATACAACATGAATCACGCAGATTGAATGTTGCGTGAGAAAGATATACATGAATCAATGAACATAACTCGCATGCCACAATTTTAATGTTTTAAGTTATCTGAAATTTAAAATATGATTCGTTGATGCATAACTTCGTTATCCAACATTCGGTCTAATTAATTAGAGTAGGGTTAGAAATCTTTTTGAAAGGACTATAATTTTCGTGATTTGAATTTTGCTCGGTATATAAAATAGTCAAAATCACGTTCGAATTCCTGGCACAACTAAAAACAACATAGTTCATTAACACTACTACATTGGATACAATAGTTTCTCAAGGGGCCAGTTAAGATCTCCCATATCCAATTAATGATTAATTTTCTATTAATTATTAGTTAATTAATTAATTAATTAGGTAAAGTGTTTATGAGAGAATGATAAAAATTAGGTTTTGGATTGGTGTGGCGGTGCAAAGGTGGTTTTTGATTCAGCCAATGAGTTGGGACCAAATTGGGCCCCAAAATCTAACAAGTAATTACGATTGAGCCTTTTGTCTGGTCTATGTAGGGTAAAGCAAACTCCAATTGGTCAAAAAAGTTGATACGGCGCCGTTTCCCAGTATTTAATATTTAAAATATTTAACAATTAAAATATTTTACTCCATCTTTATCTTTTCTTGTCTTAGATTGGCACGATAACCGTTTTGGTGGTTGGGCATCTTTAAAGAATATTCTTGTTACTTGCTTTTAGCATGGGATTAATGTTTAGCAGAAAACTAGAATCAAACATCCTTGGATTCCTCGAGGAGAAAGAAGTCACTTTTTTCGAATTTATAATCACTGAGGTTTGAACTTTGGGCAGATAATCCCCTTATAGTTTCAACGTAGCAGTTGAACCCCCCTTAAGGCATTTCTTGTCGAGAGGGGGCGGCTCCCCCGACCCCGACCGACTTCTCGTCCAACCGATCAAGCTCCTTGTACGTTTTTTCTCCATCACCACTCTCACCATATAATAATAATAATAATAATAATAATAATAATAATAATAATAATAATAATAATAATAATAATAATAATAATAATAATAATAATAATAATAATAATAATAATAAAAAAAAATTACTATTTTAAATTAAAAAGATCGAATTAGATAAAAAGAAAACGAGAAACTAAAATAAAAGAAATTAATAAAAAAACAAAAATAAATAAAGAAAAAAGACTAAATAAATTAAATTAAACAAATTAAAAAAAAAGGAAAAAGGAAAAAAATAAATAAAGAAAAGAAACAAACAAACAAAAGAAATAATAAAAAAATGGATGATGGTGTACATGGAAAGAGACGAAAAAAAAGGGGAAAAAAAAAGTGTAGTTACGAAGGGGAGGGGCGCGTGAGAGCCCAGGGCTTATGCCTGAGCTCATTTCACCCCCAGCCCCCGAATTTTTTGATCAATACCGTGTACCTACCGAATTATATGGTATTGAAAAATTCGATACCGTTACCGTACCAATAAGTGTGGTATACCGTTATTCGGTATACCGTTACTTTCGATACAGTATATCGGTACATGATACTCTACCGTTAATTTTAATTTGTTATACTTTGAAGACGATCTTTATAAAAACACAACACTTTAAACAAGAAAATTGGCTATTTATATGATCTTATTCAATTTTTCAAAGCTCCTTCAATATTTATCAAACTTTAACTTCATTTATTTAGTCATGCCTTGCAAAATAAGATTACTAGAGTCGTGATTTTTTATTCAATCTCAATTTGCAGCCTATTATTTCAGTAAAAACCAAATGGGATGTACGCTTTTTTGTTGCACTAAGCTTCAATGTTGCCTCATAAATTTTTAAGAACTGTATTTTAATTTTTTTTAAGTTTTGACCTATTTATTTTATGTAGTAATTTTAATTTTAGTTAATTAACCAATATAAAATAAATATTTATTAATTAAATTATAAAATTCAAATTTACGGTACGGTACGGTATTACCATGGTACTGAAATACAATACCGCTACCGTACCGTATAATAGTGGTACGGTACTAATACCGTACCAAATGTAATGGTTTACCGAAGTTTCGGTAATATTTCGGTATTGCTTGGTAGGTATACCGTGGTACTCGGTAGGCGGTAATTATTTTCCAGCCCTACTTTCAGTAATTTAATTTATAACTGTGTTAACAGAAGAATTATAATTATAACTGAATAGTGTTACCACAACAATTATTACAACTCATGTTAACAGATTTTCATATGCATATAAACCTACAAATATATTTACCATTTCGCCAATAAAAGTAGAAGCGATCTTATTTGTTGACCTTCGTGCTAACTAAAATTCGAAGAGATTAAATAATAAATGAACAATTTAAAATCAAACCCTAGTTTATCTTTATATATAGCATCACCCAATTCAATACATATATATATAAAAAACAAGAAATCGCCATGCATAAGTTAAAAAGGTTCACAAATCAGCAGACCCCAGTAAATTGACATGCATTCATGCATGCATGCGGTACGTACCAAAACATATATACACAACAACTGAACAAGTTTGTTGCATGCATGATTTATTGTACTTACGGGCACTGAATAAATAAATCCAAGAAAGTAATTTTATTATTACACACAAACAGAAAACATCACTTGGATCGATCGATCGATCAAAGGTCTCTTGTCGCCGGAAATTTCTTAAGATCCTCAACGGCAACTTTCACACCATGTGTCTTCATGCGAGTGTCCCTTTTATAACGATCTTTACTATAATTTACAAGCCCACTACCAAACCCCTTTTTTTGGCCGCCGCCGCCGGAGGATCCGGACGAACATGCCAGAGACGCGATTTGTCCACTATGCCCCTTTGTACTCCGATCCAGCAACCCCGTCTTGCAGTAGACCGAAAAGTTTTCACAATTGTTGTCGATCAAATTGTACACGCCGAATATTCCCTCATTTTCGAGCAGGTACTTGGCTCGACGGATCACCTCGTCAGCGGCATCTGAAACGTTCGTCGTACAAGTTCCTCCTCGTACTTTTGCCATGAACAACTTACTGCTTACGCCGTACTCAAAGCGGTACAAATTGCCACCGTTGAGGAATGTTTCGAGACTCGAGGACTCCACCATCGACGTACTTGTGTAATGTATCACTGTATCATCCCCAATGTAGATGCCTATACATATATTTTCGATCTCATCCAATCAAATACGTATCATGTTAAATATATTATAGCTACTCCCTCCGTTCCAAAATAATGGTCATTTTAGATTGTTGCGCACATATTATAAAAAAATTTAATAAATATGCGTGGATTTTAGGAAAAATACATATAACATGACTAAAATACCCATGTAAAAAAACATATACGTCTTAGTGAAAAACTAACCGTGATGAGCATAAATATAAAGGCGCCGCCATGTATAGATGTGATCCCCAGGATTGAGTTCGTTCCTTTTGATCCTGCGTTTAGGTTCATTCAACCAAAAAAAAAAAGAAAAGAAAAAAGAAGAGAACAATTAATTAAGATTTCCAAATAATTATAAGTAGTAAAGAAAAATAATTGAAGTATTATAACTACATACTTGTTGGAAAATAGCCCCATCTTCCTTTCTTGATTTCTATGTGTTAAACCACGGGAAGAGAAAATGTTGCTATATTCTGAATTTGAAGCTATAATCATTTTGTTTTATAGTAGAATCCTATACTATAGCAAATTGACAACATTATTTGTTTATGTTGACTTCATATTTAATTAAATTTTTTATTAGTTAGTCAATAAATAATCGCGATGTTAACCTACGGGCTGATAGTGGACTACTTATTAATTAATGTGTAAACCCAAAAAAAAAAAAAAAAAAAAACAACGATTTTACCAAAAAGGAAAGGATAGATAAGGCCTAAAATACCATCAAAGACAAAAATATTTCATCAAATTCTAATTTACTTCAATGTCATAGCTTAATTTAACCATAATTTTACCGAATAACCAATTTTGTCAAAATAAAAATAAAAATCAAGTCTGACCCCGACAATCACTGTTGTCGTTTGATTTTTTTCTTTCTTTTCTTTTTTTGATTTTTTTACCTTTTATTTTTTATTTTTAAATTTTTTTTATAACCAATTTTTTTCTCGTGAACACAATAATAATGTGTTGATCGGTCAACACAGTAAAAAAATTTAATTAACAAATAAAATAAAAATAATATTATTGTAACTAGACTTTATATTAAAAAAAAAATAGTTAGATTGAAACTAGACTTTATATTTTTTCATCCATATGAGAAAAATACACAACTCAATTTTCATGATATTTATGATATTCTTACGTGGTAATAGATCTATTGCTCTGATTTTTCTTTACAATTTTTTTGCAGGAACCAAAAAACCCTTAAATCACTGTTCTTAGGTTTGTATAATTATCACTACGATCAACTTTGCCACTTAGATCATCGTTCGCCAATCTATATATACATCGGTGTAAAGAAGCAGTACACTGGAAACCTCGTCACCCGCTCCGTCAGCGCCGCATCAGTGGGTCGACAATTGATCGTTGAATTTTTAAACGGGTTGGCTTCTCCAAAGATTTTCCGTAGATTTCGATTTCGCAAGGTTTGTCAAAAAAATAAAAATAGAAATGGATATAAGATACAACAATAATTGGCAGCTCAATTGGGACCTTGTCATTGTCTCAATAAATGTACTAGTGTTGTTACTAAGTCTACTCTCTGCTAAAACCTTCCAACTCTGGCGAGACCGAGTCGCGGTCCTGCGGACCAACTATTTGTCTCTCATCGACAGAACTACGGGATATATTGTATTATCGTATGGATGGAAATTGATTTGACCCGAACAACCAAATAAACTAATGACCAAATGGAAGTAAATCAAACTACCTCCGTAAATTATTCATAACGCAGCAGTCACCCGCATCGTTTCTTGCCATTAATCAAAGTAATCGGTTCGCGTATAGAAGAAGCGTTTGGTAATTGTATTTAATTATTGATTAACGTATTAAATAATGTTGTCTTTTTCCTGATGTTTACACAGCAACAGAATCCTTCAATTTTCAGTACCCAAATAATCAAACAAAATAAGATTTCACACTATGAATGGAGAAGTAGGGGTTTGGCAGGAGTTGTTATTTTTCATATAGAAAAGACTCGCTAACTTGTATTTAATTATTTACTAACATTACATAATACATAATGTGACTTTTGCTTGATGTTAACACAGCAGCAGAATCCTTCATTTTTCAGCAGCCAAATTATCAAATAAAATAAGATTTCACACTACAAAATGGATGGATGATTTGCCCATGATAAAACGCGTTTGGAGAAGAATATGAGTTAAAAGAAAAACAAGAACAAAAATCGAGAAAAAAACCTACGCGTTTGGATGTTTCTTCTATTTTAGTTTTTTTTCACGTCCGATGAAACAATAAGCAATGGCGGGCCATGATTTTATAATGGGGAAGGTGGGCGAGCGGGTTAAAAAAGTTCGGGGGTTCGAGTTCGAAAACATATCAGCTTTTCTTATGCAAACATACATGATATCACCAATCATTTCTTGCAAAATCTACTTCATGCACAACACCACGCAATATATAACTCGAATTCTCCATAAACAAAACGTACTCCAACAAACTTCAATAAAGCACCGCAACGTATACAACAAAGCCGTCGTTTCTTGCCACAATTATAACCAAGGAACCATAGTACTTAGTCTCGTAATTAACGGATAGATCCATATATATATATATATATATATATATATATATATATATATATATATATATATATATTTCAACATATTGGAATAAAAATTCACGGAACAAAGCTAATTAATTAGCAGGGGCAACCAGAGCCTGGAAACTAGGTTCAAGAACCTGAAGCATACCTGTAGCAAGCCTCGTAGTAAGATCCTCCACCGGAACTTTCAGAACATCGCTCCTCATCCCAACATCCGCAGCATATCTGCTAGCGCAATAAACCCCAACAGCAGTCACCGCCATACCATAAACATTAGTCGTCACTAAACGGAGCGGCGTAGACAAAACAGCCGCTAGGGGCCCACCTATGATAGACACAGCCTGCCCGCTCTGCCCCATCGTACTCTGATCAAGAACAAGCAAACCCGTCTTGCAGTAGATAGCAAAGTCCTCGCAGTTGTTCTTGAACACGTTATAGCACCCGAACCCGTTCTCGAGCAGGTACTTGGCTCGGTGAACCACTAGATCGTTGGTGTCGGAGACGGCCAATGTGCAGGTGCCGCCTCGTGCTTTTGCGAGGAAGAGCGCGGGGCTCACGGCGTACTCGAAGCGGTAGAGAATTCCTCTGGCGAGGAAGCAGTCGAGGCATGAGGAGACCACACCGTGCCCTTCTTCAGGTGGGATACAGGTGGCGCATGGAATGTGGGAGCGATTTGGTCCTGAACTTACCAGAAGGAGATCTAACACTGTTCCGGTACCTACTTCTTGGCCGCGTCTTGTGAAATGTACGACTTTGTTGTCACCGATGTAGATGCCTATTCTCGTCCGAACAACAATGCAACAAAACATGTTTCAGGTATATATGTAGAATAATTTTGAGAATATTTTTTCCATAGACATAAGAATGCTACAATTACTTATAAATAGGACTCCCATGCAACTTTCTCATTCCTTCAACGAACTAACGTCATTAAATTAGATTTCATAAAAAAAAGGGCTAATCAGCTTCTTTTCCAAGAACTCATTAAACGCAGACTAAATCAACAAAATCGGTTCTAATTCACACGTAGCAAAGCAAAGAAGACAACAGAAGGTTGGTTTTGGGTCGCAAAAGTCGAAAGAAAAGATGGCTGGTTTGCGAAGACTGAACTATAAATGAACAATTAAGCTCAACGAAGTACGAGAGGAACAATAATATAACAATCAACAGCAGACTTTCCTGTGAAAAAGTATAAGAAGGAGAGTTTCAATGTGTTAACTGCTTTATATCTCGAATGCTCGCAACTTGCAAATAACAAACCGAATAAAGTCGCCTCAAGAAAAAAAAAATGAACTTATGATCAATTAAACAGTGGAGTCCATCCATCTCTAGAAATTTATACACAGCAGAAAGCATTAAGTGAAGTTTTATAAAATAGTAGAAACAAAAATTATTTATTTCGCGCAAGTTCTACGGTTTTAGATACAACTCAAACACTTACTTTGAAGAAATACTGTTCTATGAAAAACACAATTCACTTGCACACACAATTTTGTTAAGATTTGTTTTTTGTAAAGGAGTCAGCTTTCTCTAGGTTTACCAGTTACCACACTAAAAAAACTAAAAGAAAAATAGCAAAAAAATATAAATTATTAATTAAAAGAGCATCAAACAATATACATACATCAATTACCCAATCTAGAAGCCGCATCTGAAGAATATTGAACAATTTTTTTACTGAAAACTAACCGTGGTGAGAATAAATATAAGCTGTGCGCCATGAATAGACGTGATCCCCTGGTTTGAGGCTGCCCCTGTCGATTCTGCGCGTGTTTTTCACGATCACAGAAAGAACAAAAACAGAAACATACACAAATCAATCAAATTTACCCCCAAATCAGAATAATGAATTTTGTAATTGGAAAAGATATACAGATACTGAAACTCTGTTGAAGCAAAAAGCAATTGAAAAGTAGTACCTATTGGAGAGCAGCCCCATATTTCTTCTTCCTTGGATTTCTCTGCGCTAGATTTGGGGAAGAAACTGCGGTGGTTGTATATTCGAAGCTTTCGCTTTTTCTGATATCGGCGGTGCCTGAATTTGTATATTTACACTGCAACAATACAACGGTTAATGTTGCAACTATTAATGACGAAATTGCCCTTCACTTTAGTTGCAAATTTCGAATCTTAGCAGCTAAGTATCGTGTCACCGTGTCGGTATAGTCCAACCCAAGGGTCCACGACCCCCACCACGAAATATTATAGGGTAAATTAAATCTACGCCCTTAAAATATGTTAAAATAACTTTAAAATTCCTATAGTATCAGCAATTACAATCACCCCTGAAATATTGTTAGCAATTTTAATGGATTAATGCAAAGTTACTCCTCCGTAAGGGTTCTAACAGACTATTAGTTTCAGGCAGTAATGAAGGCAACATAGAACTAGGGGTGACATGACTCTTCTAATATTTCTTAAATCCTTATTATTTTGCATTAACATCTCCACAAGAAACAAATATAGTTCATATCGGTACACACGACATGAAATTATGGCTCATGTGATTGTCTCCAGGTGTGGCTCTAATTACGAATACCATATGGACCTTAAAGTTATTTTAGCATACATCGGGATGTAAGTATAATTTACCCTATATTATATTAGTTTTTATTTTTTATTTTATTTTTATTTTATTTTTATTTTAAATATATCATTAATCGTATTATCTCAAACCGGATTACCCCTAATCATCAAAATGAAAAGGACAAATTTGCCCTCCAAATTAAACTTTTATGAGCCTGTCCAAAGTGTATTGCAACCCCTCATTTGAAATCTAATTTTATTTTATTTTATTTTGTAACGTACAATTAAACATAACTTGTTGGACTCTGTTATTGGATATTGCCCTCATATAAGCAAAAGCCCATTTACCCTGATTATGTATTGCCTTATGATGTGGGCTTGTAAGCGATTTGTTTTTCTTCTTTTTTTGAATAAAATTGGCCTTTTATAAATGGAAATAAAATATTAGCAAATTTAAAATAGAAACATCACTAACACACAAAATGCGAGTTCTCGAAATTTCCGTTATATAGTCGTCGACAAAAAATAAATAAAATAAAAATTGAAAAATAGTGTGTATTTTGTGGTTGAATTGGTCATTGAGACAACGCATAGACAAGTGAGGTCGACACTCACAAGCTATTGTGGGTTCACACTTTTCTTACTCCACAAACCACTTTTATCTACAAAGAACCACACTGCTTGCCGTGTTCCTCGAAACTTCTGTATCTCCCAAACATTTCTTTTATATATATACATATTAGTCGGTGAAAAAAAAAAAAAAATCGGGTATAGTATATATTGGATAAAGAAGAGTATTATTTTTTCCCGATATTTGCCGTCGCGACTTATGAATAAATATTGCACGGGAGAAGAGGATCGAAATCGAATCGTTAAGCACCAGACTCTTCTTAATTCGTTAATAAGACTACTAGAGTGGGGACAAAAGTTGAATTAAATTTTTAGTGTTAGTTTCTAGAGAAATGAATCGGCATCTTGGCATGGATTATTCTTTGAATAATGACTAAGTACTATAATAATATTTTAAGGTCGATTAGGATAAGATTAAGATAGGTTGGGATAAGGTTTTGTGTGCTTGTGTAATTGAATAAAATTAGGAGCTAATAGCACAGACCCCCCTGTGTTATTTCTAATAGGCATAATAGCCCTCGTGATAAAATAATTAGCAAAAACCCCCTTATGTTTGGTTTTATGTAGCACACTGCCCCTTTTATCAGATTTAATTGTTGACTTGAATGAAATGACAAAATTATCCTTAACTTAAAAACATAGAATACCCAAAACCCAATTGAAAAATAAGTAAAAAAAAAAAATTAGAGTCTCTTCCCCATCGACCCACCCCACCCCCACCCAAAAAAATTCTTCTTGAAGGCCAAGAACCAGCAAATAATCCTCCTCTCTTCCTTCAGTTTTCCACCACCATACCAGCCGCCATTACCTATTCCCGCCGCCGCCCCATACTATGTCGGTATTAGCCGTCCACCTCTCACAATCCAAATCAGCCGTCGACCACCGCACATTGCACACTCGAATCTCAGACAGGCGGAGTCCAGCAGCGGCGTCCCACGAAGTTCCGTCATAGTCGCATCTCAAATCTGTCTTATTCGTCGCCGTACATTTGTGGAAGCTGCTCGTGCCAATTCTTCGTCGACGGATTGTGATATAGTGTTGGTAATTGATTTGGTGGAACGGTTAAATTTGTCGTCGATTGAAGTGGTCAGAGTTCCTCGGGAGAGAAGGAACAGAGAAATTGGGATGCTTACCTTTCTCTTTGGCATTTGCCAGATTTTGGGAAGTGAAGGGTTTGGTGAGGTACCTTGCAAACAATTTGTCGGAAAAAATCATATCTGCAAAGTGGGCGAAATTGGGAAGCATTTTGTGTATCTATTGCGTGAAAATGGTGGAGAGTTTGATCGGGATGAGATGATTTGGAGAGAGGGCATTTTAGAAATTTTCAAGGACTGAATTGAAAATTCTAAGAGCTTTATTCTGGGGTTATGAAAATTTTGGGGCTAATTTGTAATTTTCAACCTTTTATTTAAAATATATTTAGTTTTTTTCACATCAAAACATGCACCCGAGCTGCACAATGCGCGCGTGGAGAACACGAGAAGATGTTAAGGGCTTTATTGGCTTTGACTAACTTTCATAGGGGGGTCCTTGCTAATTGTTTTAACATGAGGGGTTTTTCAGCAATTAGAGATTACACAGGGGTGGTTCTTGCAAAAAACCCATAAAATTAGTATTTTATATATGAAGGTCAAGGTACGAAAAATAGCCACCGGGTAATTACAACTACTCATTAACTATGAATCTTGTTACTCGTTTATTCTTATGATGTCAAATTCAACAGAATCTTCTAGATTATGTGGAATATTCTTTAATTTGTACTCGTTTTGTTGAAATATGCAGTTTATGATGCACCACAATATAATATTTACAAGCCAAGAAACACATCTTATGATATCTTATTTCAAAATGTGGAGTTCGAATGAGGTAAAACGGGTACAAACTGGAGAAAGTTCCATGTAATTTAGAAAATTCTACTAAATTAGACATCGCAAATGAGGACGTGTAAAAAGATTCATATTGAGGAATGCTTGTAATTACTCAAATATGAAAGTTCTTTTTCGGAATTTAATCTTTTCTCAGGGGACAGTGGGCGTAATTTACCATAATTTTTATTTGTTTTATTATGGGTTAAATTTAATATATTGAATTTATTGTACTAGTAATTTTATTAAGAGCATTGACATATTGCTTTTTATTAAAAAAATCTCATAATGCAGTCATAAAGTCCAGCCAATAGGCGTATGACATATTCACACACAGACACACACTGGATGTGCTCCAAGGCTTTAGGTTTGGCCACCTAAAACGGATATTCGCTGCTCTAGAATATTCTAAGCTGGACCAATGAGCACATGCCACTTGTCCGTGGCCTAAAGAATAAGCCTACCGGCAGCAGCTGTCAAACATAGTATCAACTTTGTCAAGATCAACAGTTATTGAAGATCAAATTGCACGTTATTTTATTAATTAGTTGTTTGGCACAAGGTTTGCATGAAAATTGGAAAATAACTAATTTGAACTTAATTAGACCACCAAATCTAAATCATGCAAATTGAAACGCCAACCAAACTTCCCAATTTTCTAAATTAAAGAGTAATATAGTTTATTACTCTCTGTCCCAATTTAAATGACGTTTTGGGTTGTTTTACACATATTAAGAAAATCAATAAATGTGTATCGATTATAGTAAAAAACATAGGAAAATACTAATATATCCTTGATATTAATTGTTTTACAACTAACTAATTAGGAGTTATAAAGGGTAAAATTGAAAATAGTGCAATTAATGATGCATTGAAAATCTAAAATGACAAATAATTTGGGACCAGAAAAACTCTCTAAAAAGACATATAATATGGGACAGATGGAGTAAACAAGAAAAAAAAAAAGAATCACACAATTCAATTATTTTCAGGTTAAGTTAATCTACCTAGATCGCGCTCTTGTGCAACAGCTAACAACTGCACAAAAA